ATTTACTGTGTAAGGAATGTAACCCTAACATTATTATTAACTTCCGTATTTAAATTATAAATTCACTTTCTTTAAATTCTGGGTCTTTACAATTGGTATTAGAGTCGTGCTCCTTGGAACCATTCCTTACACAAAGATTTAAAAATACTAAAAACAAACTATTGCCCTTTCTTGTGAAATGTAAGTACAACGATATGAGGAGAGGAAGACCTCTACAAAATCGAATAGCCCGGGATAGTTCGCTTCGAGAGGATGTTAACTAACTTTTTGAGATGTTAGAGAAACTTATCCCTGCCTAGTAGGCCTGTGAGGAAAGGAGGGAGCTGCCAAACCCTCCCCCGCTACTATAATTTGAGTTACCCTTATAGTAGGAAGATCTAGAGCCACCTCAGTACAACCCTGCTCCTCCACTGTATCATTCGATACCACCATAGGGCAACCCAGTCCCTCCACAACACAATCCAATCCCTTTTCCACGGAACTCAGTTCCACCAATGATGGACCCATGCTACATTGAAAGGGACGAAAGACTAAATTCATATACCTTTATGGGGGTATCCTCTTTTGAAGAGGCCGAGTATTAGTTAACTGAGACAAAAAAGACCTTTGCGACTCTTGGGGTGGTTCTTAAACAAAAGATTGCACTTGCCACCTATATGCTCGTGGGAGAGACAGATTGTTGGTGGCAGCTCAAGCAGGCTACACTACCTATTCCAGTCACTTAAGAATAATTCCTGATGGCCTTCAATATAAAATACCTCCCGGAGCACCTCCGATATTTAAAGAAAATAAAGTTTGCACACCTAGTCTAGAGTAATATGACTGTGTCGAAGTATGCCCGAAGGTTCCTAGAGTTGGGCTGGTATTCTCCTAAGAGCATGATAGGTGAATGCAGTAAGGTAAGGAAGTTCGAGTGAGGCCTCCGTCCTGAGATCAAAAAATAGCTGTACGTATTTGAGCGCAGTACCTACTCAGCCGTTTTGACCAAGGTACAACTAGTGGAGAGGAACCTTCGCATTTTTCTTCCAATAGTGGAGAATTTCATACCCTCAGTTTCACACTACAGACCAACACCCATTACACCAGTTCAGCAGAACAAGAGGTCTAAGTCAGTGACTCAGGCTCCTCCTCAAGATCCGGTAGCAAGACGCGGTAAGACTTACTAGCATTGTGGCAAAGATTATAGGGACCAACTTTACTATTGTCTTAATAATTTCTGCTACATATGTGAGAGTGCCTAACACTACGCGAGAGAGTGCCCAAGAAATTAGAACCAGGCCAGACCTCCTATCTAAGCCAAAGCTAACAACCTCACTCAGCAGGATGCTGAAGCCAATGCAGACGTGATACAGAGTACGTACACTATCTGTAATCACCTTGTACATGTTTTGATTGATACTGGTGCTTTATATTTATTTATCTCACATGCTTTTACACTAAACTTAAATGTATTATCTGAAAAACTTGATTCTGCGTTGTTTGTGTCTTCTCATAGGAGTAGAACACCACTAGGGAATGTTATATAGAAAGTTTATATTATAAACATAGCAGATAAAAAATTGAGTGTGGACTTACTAGAGATTGACACGGAGGACTTTGATGTAATTTTAAAAATAAACTGGTTAGTGATGTATCACGCCACCGTAGATTATTTTCACAAGAAACTTGTATTCAACCCTCGTAATAAAGAGTCATTTATAAGTTAATAAAAATTTTAAATATTATTCTCTCATGACAATTTCCTTATTACATAGTACTTTAACTCGGTTTCTTCTCTACATTAGGCAAACCCAAGGAAAAAATTTGTATTCAAAAGATCCTGACAGTTTCAGACTTCCCGGATGTGTTTCCTGATGAACTACCCAGATTGCCAGTAAATAGAGAAGTTGAGTTCACCATAGATTTAACATCAGAAAAAAAAGAATTTGCTTTATTTCATTCTAAAATAAACTAGACTATAAAATACTGATATGTTTTGGCTTATATGTAAAATTAAATAGTCTAGTCTTTAATTCGGTCTCTGTGACACTTTTGGTTCATAATTTGGTATAATTCTAAACTAACGAACAATTTTAATTATAATTGGTCATTGCAAATGTGAATAATTTGTATACCGTAATGTGGAGTAAGTTGTGCAATACAACAATTGATAAGTGAGATCTTTAATTTATAGGAAGGGCTTTATCTCAATAAAAGACTTAGAGGCACTTTTAGCTTGTGGCTTTATACTGTAGTTTGGTCAATATGGTTAACAAGGAAAGATAAACTTTTCAATACAAAAATAGTATCCCTTAAAAAAATATGTGGATTTCATGTCAAATTGCTTGGTGGTTAAAAGTGGTATGTTCTAATTTCTTTTTGGTTTCTTTTCTAGATTTTAATGTTTCCTTACCGATGGTAAGAGATAAATAGTTGAAAACCCAATTCATTGAATTAAATGTCTTGGTAGATCCAGGTTAAGGAAGAACAAAGTTTAATATAGATAGTTCAACAAGGGAAAAAATAGTATTGGTAAGTATTATAGGGTGTTAGAGAAATATGGTGAGTCTACATAGTGTTTGTTCTCTAAAACTACTGGTATAGAAGATTTAAATAGTGAACCATTTCTTTTAAAAATTATTAAAATTTTTATATATCTGTATCAAATTGACGAGACTTAAAATCATGATTATCAAGAATGACTTTAGGTTGTAATGCTTATATACTCTTGGTATAATTTGAATGTTAAACTGGGGTGATAAGAGGTAGTGTTTCAATTAGGTTGCTTGTATTAGTGATTGATTATAAAAAAGTAAGAAGATATTGTTAGTGTATTAGCTGGTTGTAGTATGCATGAGGAGTACCTTGATACGGAAGAAAAAATGGATATTTTTAGGGCATTTATATCTAATGATCTTTTCTTTGATATAGATGTGTTGGTGATATACAATTTTTTTAATAATTTACTTTTACAAAATGATACCTTTTTTTTTTAGTTTTTATGTGTTAACTTTTAAAAATTGAGTTTCAAAACTATATTGTCGAAATTATTGATTGTATTATGAACTATAAGCACAACTATTTTAACTTTATACATCGTTAGTTATCTTGTTGTGATGTGTTTATTAGATATCTGATTAGTTTTATGTACGAGACTTTATTTTCAATTGTGCGGTTTTATTTGCAAGAGTTATTTTATTTTACGATATTGCATGGTTTATTTTAACAAGCCACTTAATTTTTTTTTTCTTTTTTTTACTTTTATTTCGTAGTGCAATTTTGTTTCCATATATTATTTTTGTGACCTTACTGGATATATTAATTCCTTTCTATATCTAATGTGCTTCTGCTTTCTTTCCAAGCTTCTTCTTTGATGCAAAAAGATGTGATAAATGTTGACCGCAATGGGTTTGACCATGGGCTTATTTTTGTTGATTTTTATATATGGTTGATAGTTGTGACTTTGTATCATGATACACTAAGATATATTATACTTAATATACTTATCTATACTTTCCAAAGTATTCAAAAAATAATATAATAACCAAGAAAAAGAACAAAGGCAGGCAAAAAGACAGACAAAGAAAAACAAAAAGTTCAATTGCTCAATTTCGTATTTGAAGGGATCAAAATTAGTTATTCCATAAATTCAATGGAAGCAGATTAATTATATAATACTTATAATATAATATAATATATAGAGCGTTTGGTCTAATTTGTCAAATGTATTTGCACACTTGGGGTATATTGATTAGTTGATTAATTCTTGAAAATATTCTTGTCTCTCCTGCCAAAATTAAACACACGGCTACCTTGTTAATTAGTTCCTATGGAATTTCCTCCTTATGACATTCTTCTTTCTTCTTCAAATTCAACTCAACTAGTAGCCAACCCTTTACGGGCGCCATTATGTATATATATATATATATATGTCTGTATGTATGAGATAGTACAGCAAACCAGCTGAAAAACAAAAGTAATACATACATACCCTAGCTAGCTTACCTTACGAGATACAGAAACAAAGATCAAAACTAGGGTTTTAATTTACAGAAGACGGAGAAGAAGAAACAAAAAAACCATGCAGTACCGATCAGCAGCGGTAAACTTCCAGCGCCATTTCCTAGCTTCCAAAAACAAAACCATGCAGATGGTGAAGAGCACCATTAATGAACCCAGTTGCGACGTCTTCATCAACCACAGAAGCGTGGACACGAAGAGGACCATCGTTACTTTGCTTTACGATCATCTTTCTCGGTTAAATCTGCGGCCATTTTTGGATAACAAGAACATGAAGCCTGGAGATAAGCTGTTTGATAACATCAACTCCGCCATTAGAGACTGCAAGGTGGCTGTCACTGTGTTTTCCCCTACCTACTGCGAGTCATACTTTTGTCTTCACGAACTGTCGCTAATAATGGAGTCGAAGAAGAAGGTTATTCCGATCTTCTGTGACGTTAAACCGTCACAGCTTCAGGTCATGTACGGCGGAAAATTCTCGGTGCAGGAGTTTCAGAGGTTTAAGTGGGCTCTAGAAGAGGCTAAGAATACCGTAGGCCTCACGTTCGATTCTTTTAAAGGGTAATTTATTTCCGTCAACTTTCTCATTTTTTCTTTGTATATATATAAACTCGTTGGAGGATGTTGTTTTCCGGCCTCATATATAAACATATATACATATACATATAGGCCAACTTTCTCATCCTTTCTTTTTCATTTTTTTTGCTAATGATTATACGAACTCTGAATATAATATATATATATATATATATATAAATTATACACTATATAAATTTTTGATCGTACATTTGTTACTTACAATATATAAAGTTCTTCTGAAATTATAACATGTGATTAAAAACTGAAAATCTAATTTATGTTTACAGGAATTGGTCGGAGGTTGTAACCAACACTTCAGATATTGTGATTCAAAACTTGATGGAGATGGAGGAGAAGCAGATCAGGAATAGCTGGAAGACTAGTACATAAATGGCCGTTTAAAACGGTGCATTTCGGTACTGGCAAGACGGAATGCAACCATATATATCGAACATGATACAGCACCCTGTCTGGCTGTGTAATCTAATTTGCATACATATATAATATTATTTCGATTAATTGTTGGTATTATATATGTTAATTAACCTTGTAATATTCCTTTCTTTTCTTTTTTTAATTCCAGTTTTCTATCTTTTGACGTGGTCGATTTATAAATGTAATGTTTCTTTACATTGTATATTAAATTATACATATGTTTTTTTATTTCTTAATAAAATTCAATATACATTTAAATTTGTATACTGATGTTGCAGTTTGAAGAAGAAAAGAACAAGAGAAAATTTTCTATCTATTGACCGATAAAAGGAATGTTTACACAAGTATTAATACTGCCAATACACACATGCACACTCAAGATGGATTATGAATATCTCATATATATATATATATATATCTTAAACAATAATGCAAAAGAAAAAGATTGGTTGGTAAAGGCTTGGTAAACAAATTACAAGAAAGAAATCCAAGACAATAGCGGCTACAACAATTGACTGTGAAGAGAGGAAGCTTAATTTAAATTTAATTTATTTTCTTTTATTAAGAATTTTAATAATTTAAAGTTTTCCTAATGCAAGTCATATTAAGTTATTAATTAAGTTTTTGAAGTATAACCATATACACTCGAAAGATCATATATATACTCGAAAGGTCATCTCTAAGATTTAATCGTACGATGTCATTTGTCGTTATCGAGGAGAGGCAAAATGGATCCCCCCATTGCATGGATAACACACACAAAAAATCTAACAATAGCCACAGCAGTTATGTTTGCTAGGTGACCCACACTTACAAACACCTATCTACATCTAAATTACATTTTAAACTCTATCTATGTGCAGTTTCACCGTGCCCGCTGAACTTCAGCCACACACATACATATTCCCCTCCTCGATTTAGATTAAACGAAAAGGTATCTAGGGTCCACACCCTATTCACTCACATCCTCTCATTTCCAAATTCTTATTTACTTTCCTCTTATTCTATTTTTCTCTTAAATTTTATTTAAATTAATCATTTCATAATCATAATTATTTTCCTCCTATTTTTATTCATTTTCTTACATTATTTTATTTCTTTTTCTTAACCTTCTGCTTAATTGCTGATTTCTTTTAAATTTAAATTTTATTCCTTATCATCAGTTCAAGTATTCCTCACTCCTTGATTTTTTAGTCTCCATCTCCTCATAAATTCCAAACAGGTTAGGGTTCACTCGTCATAGGTCCGGGTTCTGTTCTTCGTCAAAAAATCAAGTCAATATTTGTTTTATATTTAAAACACACATAAAATTAATAATATACATGCATAAATTTAAAATCCTAATCTATATTCAGAATTTAGAAATACTTACAACTACTTTGCACAACGACCTTTCCATATCTGCTTGAGTCTTCCTAGATATGCTCGAACGTCCTGTTTCATGGTACACACACAACACATATTATTTAATGCAATTTAAATATTAAACAAAGGCTAAATTCGACCGAAATTATAGACTCTAGTGATAACCCGACAAGATGTTCAGCTCACTATGTAAGGGTGAGCAATCTGCTCCCCTTACAGTCCCCGATTCTATACCTGGGGATATCAAGTTCTGTACCCGAGGAAAAGCACCTTGGTTCCCTAGTGAGCGAGTGACTAGCTGACTTCGACCGTCCATCCCGTTGTCGTACAACTAAAACAGTCACAAAAAGCTTACTTGGGCCGGCGTGGTACGATTCAACCTCAGGTTCAACTCTGGATGGTCTTCTCGGTTCCTCGCTACTCCCTTTGTTTGCTTCGAAGCTTAAATAATAGATTTCACACCTACATACCGATTGGTGCGAAATAGGAAAAGGGATTGAAGGAAAATAGAGATGAAAAGATGAAATGGAGGAACTTACCTTATTTATTTCGGTTTCCATCGTCACCCAATGCTCCTCAGCCCAATTTCCCTTTTTTTCCCCTTCCCTTCGACTTCCTCTTGCATGACCCTCCCTTCCCTTCGGTCGTTCTCTACTTTTCCCCGCATTCTCCCGCTCAGTTATGCTCCCTCCTTATCTCCTTTCCTCTTTTCCAACCTCCTCTCTCTCACCCGAGCGACTCTTTCTTTTCTTCTCTCATTTTCGAGTTTTCCTCTCAAAATGAAGAAGAAACCTTAAATTTTTCCTTATATACACGTCTCCTTGGACTGTTGGATCTTGCAAGTCTCAATCTGATCTGTTTAATCTAACTAGAATCTCATCAGTTGAATTCCTCGGACAATTCAATTAGAACTGTCCATCTCCCGATTTTTTTTGCCCCCCTTCCATTTCCATTTATGTATGCTTTTACTCACTTTTTTCTTACATATTTTTATTTAGATCCTTAAAATAAATAAAAATCCTTAGGTTTTAATATTTCTTTCATTTAGACCCTAAATCCTAATTTGATTATTTATTTATATATCTTTTTTTATTTTATTTGGGTTCGAAATATTATATGTTGCACAAAGTATTTTTATTAATTATTTCATCATAATATTTTAAGTGTACGGTCAGGACTCTAAATGAAAGTTCGGGCTATTATATCATGGGTTCCACATTATGTGTAGAAGTGGAACATCATTAGCATTAATGAAATTTTTGGATCTATAAAAAGATTGGATAGTTTAGATGCCAAAAAAATAATGTTATCTAATAACTCAAAAGTATAATTTTTTTAGACAAATTGATACTCTTGTTGGATCTTATGATCTCAAAGGCCAAAGATTAGTTAAGTTGTCGAAGATTTTTCAAATGAAATTGTGTATGAAGGAATTATTTCACGCTTTTGATAAAATCTAAAGAATAGTTAGCAATGACGATGTCTTAAATAAATTAATGCATCCAAAAAGAAATATTAATACCTTTAGTAGATGATGAGTAACCTGATTTTGATTGTTGAAAGCCAAAAGAAGAGCCTGATTGAATTTAGATTTTCATTATCATGAAGCTTGCTTAAAACCATAAAATGATTTTTGAATCTTACAAACTAATTTAACATCTAACTGGGAAGACTCCACCCGTGTCTTTTGATATCCGAGTAGAAAATCCATGCAAACTTTCTGGAAAAATCATGATTTAAGAAGGTATTATTGACGTTTAATTGTGTAAGATGCTATTGTTGAGAGGTTATAACAGTTAAAATGAGCTTAAAAGTGACTAATTTAGCAACAAGAAAAAAAGTTCCATAAAGTCCACTATCTCTTGTTGGGTAGAGCCTTTAGCTACTAATCGAGTTTTATATCTTTTGGTAGATCCATCTAAATTATATTTTATTTTGTAAACCCATCGACAACCAATCGAATACTTATTTCACGATAACTCTACCATGTCAAGTGTTGTTCTTTCCTATAGCGAGTAACTCTTCCCGTATGACTTTTCTCTTGTGATCATAAATTATAACCTGATGACAAATTTGTGGCTTAATTTGTAAAGAAACGGAGATAATAAATGTCTCATGTACATGGGACAAGCGATCATAAGAAATATATCGAGATAAAGGGTGCTCAATATAATCAGATCAAATGACATGTTTAGAAAGACTATAGTGAAACTCTAGTCGATAGGAAAGATGTCTTCTTACTTCTAAAGATCTTTAAATTACCTAATCTGAATTGGAGACCACTTGAATAACCTTAAAACCTATGGATTGTTGTTCAAGACTTGAAATATTATTGTCAGCAATAAGAGTGGAAAAAATAAAATGATCACATAATTAAGAAACAACTACATATAAAGGCCTAACAAAATATGGAAAAGGATTTGCATAAATATATTGAGGACATGCATCATATAAGAAGTTATTTATTCATGAAAGCTAAATCTCGAGAGATAAAAACTTTCTTTAATGTCAATAATTTATGTCAATGTCGCTAATATTTAGTATCAACAATAAGATCTTTGGTTGGAAGGAAAGAGAGCAATTGGGTCTTAGTTTTGATAGTTCTTTTCTTAGTTTTAATTTTTCTTTTAGGCCCGTGATTGGTAGGATTATTAATAAAGATTGTAGTTATGAGAGTGAAGTAGGAATGAAATCGAGTCAAGTTTTAAATGAGTCTTATAAAATTCAAACCAGATCCATCTACGAAATAAAAATTTGAAAACCGACTCAAGTCCAAAATGGATTGATAAAAAGTGTCATGTAGTTTAGGCAGTGCAAGTTTTGAGTTAAAACTAAAATGTCTCATGTCCAATATATAAAGTAAAATATTTTTAATATATAAATTATTATTATATATAAGCGGTTCTATTTAGATTTGTTACCTCTCTGATTTTTTTGACATACCAGTTTTGGTTGGAGCATCTTCTTAATTTCTTGCACTTGAAACATCTTTTTGCCTTAATTCCAATAACTTATTCTTTTTTTGTAACTTTTTTTTTTACTAAACAAAATTTAATATATTATTTTTTGGTTTAAAGTTTGAAATAAATTTAAAAATTTAACAAACAAATTGTGGTAAAAAAGTATTTTTATTAATAATAAACATTGATCAAGATTTATATTATCGTAATTAAATTCATCTTCTTATTAAAAATCATACGATAATTACTAAATTAAATTGCTTACACAAATTACTTCATACATACACATACATATAAATCTTTTTTTAAATTGTTTCGTCAAAGATTAATATTTACGCACAATAAATAGAAATTAATTTCTTGGGCTGGACCTATCGATAAGCCCAAGCTAATATCAATGGCTGACTCAACTCATCTCGGCCCATAACTCAGTCTGTGACTGCTATTATATTTTTATCAATAACCTCAAAAAAATTTGAATACAATTAATGATATTATTTTTTATTTCAAATTTAATATTATCAATGAACATTTAAAGTAGAAAAATTAAATAAAAATAAAATATTTTTTATCTAAATAAAAAAAATAAATGTATATTTAATTAATATTATTTATAGAATAAGGAAACTAATTATTATGAATCGGTGGTAATAATAAATATTGTTTTCGTACAAAATAATTTTTAAAATAAAATTTCTTATTAGGCTTCAGATTCTTTTGCGCAATTTGCAAACGGTTTAAAAGCTTCTAGAAACTCAAATTATTTATTTATTTATTTATACAAGGCAAGTATATATACAGCTGCCATCCAATTCAAAGAGCCGCGAATGGCTCTCTCACTACCAGACCCAATATCTCCTCTCTCTCCCATGAACCCTAACCAATTTGTCTGTATTCCCTTTCTTTATTTTAGTTATATATATGTATATGTTTACATATATGTATATGCATACATGCAGATGAAGAGAAATCAGTTCTACTCATCTTCCCCCTTTCATTCTCAATCTTTATATGTTATTTCCTTCGTCTTCTTCTTCTTTTTCTTCTTCTTGGTTTCTTGGGCTATAGAGTTGTGGGGTATCAACGGAGTCAGAGACGATGGACGTGGAAGTCAAGAGAATTAGGGAAGAAGAAGATGACAATCGTGATGAGTTAGAAACAGCCGCCATTTTCAAGAAAGCAAATCGACCTGTGACGTTGAAGGTAATTGTTTAGTTACAACCCACAAAATGTCGATGTTTATAGTTTTGAATTAATCCCGATTAGATTCTTCATGCGATAAAACTGGTTGTTCGTCACTGGATTTTCAAATCTTTAATTTACACACATCTTTATCTTTTCTGCATTGGAATCTGACCCGGAAACCGTAATTTCATTATCATATGGTAAAGATACGATGATATTTAGATATATGTGTATTTATATATGTGTACAATAACAGTTTGAGGATGTTGAATACAAAATCAAACCCAAGAAAGGTTCTGTATGGTGGAACCAAAATCGGAAAGAAACCCAAGAAAAGCTCATCTTAAAGGGAATAACCGGCGTGGTTCAGCCGGGGGAAATGCTGGCCATGCTGGGCCCATCCGGAAGCGGCAAGACCACTCTCCTAACAGCTCTCGGCGACCGTCTCGGCGCCGGCAGCGGAAAACTCACCGGAAAAATAACGTACAACGGGAAACCTTTCTCAAACGCAATGAAGCGAAACACAGGATTCGTCACCCAAGACGATGTTCTCTACCCTCACCTGACGGTGACGGAAACCCTCGTCTTCACCGCCTTGCTCCGGCTCCCAAACAGCTTGGGAAAGCAGGAGAAGATTGTTCAGGCAGAGGCAGTCATAAGCCAATTGGGTCTAAGCAAATGCGAGAACAGCATAATCGGGGGCCCGTTTTTAAGGGGAGTGAGCGGAGGGGAGAGGAAAAGGGTGAGTATCGGACAAGAAATGCTGATAAACCCCAGCTTGTTGTTCCTGGACGAGCCGACGTCGGGTCTGGACTCGACGACGGCGCAAAGGATCGTGTCGACGCTGTGGGAGCTTGCAAGAGGCGGAAGAACTGTGGTGATGACGATACACCAGCCGTCGAGTCGGCTGTTTTATATGTTTCATAAGGTGTTGGTTTTATCAGAAGGGAACCCTTTGTATTTTGGGGATGGAGAAGCTGTCATGGACTACTTTAAAGGCGTTGGCTACGCCCCCCTCATCGCCATGAATCCTTCAGATTTTCTGCTCGATATTGCCAACGGTATGCTTCATTATCTTTTTTTTTTTTAATTTATTTTCATCATTATTTCTAACTTCAATTCTTTTTAATCAATCGACAAGCAGTTTAGTCGGTGGTCAACAACCTGGTGGCAACAGTTCTCCGTTCTTCTACGACGAGGCGTCAAAGAACGCCGCCACGACTCATTCTCCGGCCTCAAGATCGCTCAAGTCCTCGTCGTCTCTCTACTTTCAGGTCTTCTATGGTGGCAATCCGACCTCTCCCACTTACAAGACCAGGTAAAATTCAAACAAAACAACTTGCATTTGAATTTCTTGGCATCAATTAATTCTATCTCGCAGATCGGACTTCTTTTCTTCATAGCTGGATTCTGGGGATTCTTCCCTCTGTTTCAAGCAATCTTTACGTTCCCCCAAGAACGGATGATGCTCGAGAAAGAAAGATCTTCGGGCATGTACAGACTATCCTCATATTTCATGGCGAGAGTCTTGGGAGATCTCCCAATGGAACTCGTCCTTCCCACCATCTTCCTGACAATAGTTTACTGGATGGCTGGCTTGAATCCCACGGCGGAAAGATTCTTCCTCACCCTATTGACTCTTCTGCTGAGCGTGCTGGTGGCGCAAGGGCTGGGGCTGGCGCTGGGGGCAATGGTGATGGACCAGAAGTCGGCGACGACGCTAGGGTCGGTGATAATGCTTTCGTTTCTGCTAGCAGGGGGGTTTTACGTGCAGCACGTGCCTGGGTTCATTGGATGGATAAAGTACGTTTCAATAAGTCATTATTCGTATAAGCTGCTGATTGGATCGCAGTACGGGTGGGATGAGACTTACCCTTGTGGGAATGGTGGGACGTGTTTGGCTAGGGAGTTTGAGGCGATTAAGAGAGTTGGGATTGAGGATCAAGTTTTATCTGTTTTGGCTTTGTTGTTAATGCTTGTGGGTTATAGGCTTGTGGCTTATATTGCCTTGGGAGGATTTCAGTGAGTGAATAAAAAGTTCATTAGTAGAAGGGTGATATATATGTTTTTCTTTTTAAATTCTAATGGGTATGTGCGTAAATGTGTGTGTATATATATGTGTGTATATATATATGTGTGTGTGTATATATCTGTGTGTTGTGTATAACTTGGATAAAGCTGTTCGCATTGGACCTTAAGGTGGATAATTAATGGGCCTAAAAAGCCCATCACTGAAATAATAGAGCCCGTAAGAGATATTTTAATAAATTATGTTTTTTTGTTGTATGTCATTAGGATCGAACTCGGGCCGCGAACAAACTTCAAAGTGGAAGTGTTTCATCTTGGATAAAAAAAAATTAAAGGTACATACATAGCAATTATGTAATTACAAAAAATTTAACTAATAAAATATTAGTTTAGTTAATATATTATGTTTTATTTACATGTTACGAGTTCAGATTTATTGAGTATGCATAGCTCTCAGACTCTGAATATATTATTATTGAACGGCGATGATCGTCTTATAATATTAATATGAGGTTCTTCTACCATCTTGTTAAGTAAGTAGTGCATCTACTTATTAAGGTACGATCCTGTGGCATTTTTCCATTCTATTTATTTTATTTTCAGTTACCTTAATTTTTATCATTCTTGATAGCGGGTTAAGTATGAAGGATTTTTATAGGATCAATTCATTTAATGCCTTTAAATAAAATTATATGAATTTATGATCACGTTGATTGACCTTGGGTTCCGCATCAAACATCTTCAAACTATTGTACACATATATTTAAATATCATCGTATCTTTATCATATCAAAATGAAGATTATTGTTTCCGGATCAGGTTCTAATGCAGAAAAGATATAAGTATGTTGTGAATTAAAGATTTAAAAATCAAGTGACAGCATGATCAATTTTATCGCATGAAGAGTCTAATCGGGATTAATTCAAAACTATAAATATCGACATTTTGAGTTGTAGCTATATAATTACCTTCAACGTTACAGGTCGATTTTGCTTTCTTGAAAATGGCAGTTGTTTCTAACTCATCATGATTGTCATCTTCTTCTTCCCTAATTCTCTGGCCCTCCACATCCATCACCTCTGTCTTCATTAGTGCCCCGATACTCCAATGCCCAAGGCACCAAGAAGAAGAAGAAGAAGAATAAGGAGAGGAAAAAGGAAGAAGAAAAAGAAGAATAAGATCAATAAAGGTAATTTCTTTTTGTTTTACTTAAATTTAAAGTCTTAATCTGACAAAAATTAAATCTTTGGAGACTGATTTTTTCCAACTAACAATATTATTTTTCTCGGTAAAAATTTTGTTATTTTAATATTGAGATTATTTTTACTTAATGAAGTCATGACATGTTTCGTCTGAATAATTAGACGTTCAACGTGTGATTACAACCATGTAATTTTACTTCTTAATGATATTATTAATAAATAATATTTTATTTTTTACTTGGATCTCTTCTTTCTTTGAACGAGACTTTTTACTGAACTCTTGAAACTCACTTCAATTCATCTTCTTTCATATTAGATAAGACTAAAAGTAAGTTCAAGTTCAATAGAAGATTGTAAAAAAAATAATTAATTTACAGATACATGAGATATCTAAATTAATTTACAATTCGAAAATAGAAAAAAGATATATATTAATGTGTAGTTCTGTTGTATAAATAATACAGTTGTGTGCAAGTATTCGTACCCACCGACATTTGGGGTCGGACTGTTACAAAT